ACGCTCTGCCACTTGAGCCACAGCGCCACTTCCGGCTTTTTTCTTTTTGCTTATGTGGTGCTGAGGAATCAAACCCAGGGCCTCAGGCATGCAAAGCAAGTGCTCTACCACTGAGCCACCTTCCCAGCCCCATATAGCTTTGTTTTCTAAAGGGTAAGTTTATGTAGCATATGACAGCCAGTGCATGTTTTTTGCTCATTCTGGTCCTGTACAGGGCCTCTCAATCTTGCTCTGCTTGCCGACTCACTGCTGCTGCTCTACCACTTAAGGCATGCTTCCAGTATTTTTTAAAAATTGAAACAGGGTCTCTCAGTATCCCTGCTGGCCTCAAGCTAGCTATGTGGCCCAGGTTGGTCCCAGGTGATCCTCCTGTCTCTTCTTCCTAAGTACTGGGATTGTGGGGGTTCCACTGCACCTGGTTTACATATGTCTATTTACAGTGTACATTGTAACTTTCAACTTGTTTAATTTAAAGGGGTTCAGTGTCCTTTCCTATACTATTTATCCTTTTGTCCTACCTGTACTTAATGATATCCTAGGACAGTTTTTCAGATTCATTTCTTGTCCTTCTTGCCTCTATTCAGATACTCTCCTCAGGTGCTTTATGAGCCCTGTACTCAGGATATTGTGATGTTCCTCGTTGTGATGTTGTGCAACCAGAACTACATCCGGAATCCATACCTAGTGGCCAAACTGGTAGAAGTTATGTTTATGACCAACCCTGCTGTCCAGCCACGAACCCAGAAATTTTTTGAGATGATTGAGAACCATCCTCTCTCTACCAAGTTACTGGTACCTTCTCTGATGAAGTTCTATACAGGTAGGTTCCTGCGTGTGCCACATAACATGTGGTGGTCAGACTTGGGCAATGTTTTCTGAAGACAGTTGTTACACTGTTGTACTCTTGAAACAACAGAGAGCATAGAGGCACACCATAAAAAGACTTTTCTTTTCTGGTTGATTATATTCCAACTGGCATCAAGAGTACAGCTCTTTGTTGGTCAGAGTATTCTTGTGTTCAAGAACTGTCAACGAGCTGGGCACTGGTGGCTCATGCCTGTAATCGTAGCTACTCAGGAGGCTGAGATCTGTGGATCACCATTCAAAGCCAGCCTGGGCAAGAAAGTCTGTGAAACGCTTATCTCCACTAAACCACTAGAAAACTGGAAGTGCTGCTGTGGCTCAAGCTGTAGAGCTCTTGACTTGAGCTGAAGAGTGCAAGGACAGCGCCCAAATCCAGAGTTCAATCCCCACAACCAACAAAAAAAAAAAGAACAGTCAACAAAGCCTGGCACTAAGGCTGGGAAGGTGGCTCAGTGGTAGAGCGCTTGCCTTGCATGCCTGAGGCCCTGGGTTTGATTCCTCAGCACCACATAAGCAAAAAGAAAAAAAAGCCTGAAGTGGTACTGTGGCTCAAGTGGTAGAGCGCTAGCCTTGAGCTGAAGAGCTGAGGGACAGCGCCCAGGCCCAGAGTTCAGGCCCCATGACCAGAATCCCCCCCCCCCCAAAAAAAAAAAAGCCTGGCACTGGTGCTCACACCTGTAATCCTAACTACTGAGATCTGAGGACTGTTATTCAGAGTCAGCCGAGGCAGGAAAGTCTGTGAGACTCTGATCTCCAATAAACCACTAGAAAACCGGAAGTGGCGCTGTGGCTCAAGTGGTAGAATGTTCCCCTTGAGCTGAAGAGCTCAGGGACAGCCCCAGGCCCAGAGTTCAAGCCCCAGGACCAACAATAAAAAAAGAAAAAAAAGAAAGAACAGTTAATGACTGTCAATCAGGGCCTGTTTCTTCTTGTTTGGGGCCCAAGCTGTTATCTCTCTGAACAGACACTGAGCAGTCTAAGAATTTGCCTTCCTGCTTTTCCCTTTATCTCTATTTTGTGGTGCCTGATAAAGAGTTTCAGACAGACTCTTTTAAATCTAAAACAAGCAAGATGTTTACTAACATCTTTCTTCTGAGGTGTAGAGAGCTCTGTTGGGGAAAAATTCTCTTGCCTGAAAATCCCTTTTCTTTAGGCATTTTATGCGATAAACACAGGTCCTTCAGGTACAAGTGGTTTCTTATGCTTATCAGGATAGAACTTTGTAGTCTGCACATATTAAGAGAGGGAGACGGCTGGGGAGACGGCTCAGTGGTGGAGTGCTTGCCTTGCATGCATAGGCCCTGGGTTCGATCCCTCAGCACCACATAAAAAGAAAAAGCTGAAAGTGGCGCTGTGGCTCAAGTGGTAGAGCGCTAGCCTTGAGCTGAAGAGCTCAGGGACAGCACCCAGGCCCAGAGTTCAGGTTCTACGACCAACAAAAAAAAAAAAAAAAAAGAGAGAGAGAGGGAGACAGACAGACACCTACAAAAGCCTACCCAATAGCCAGTGAGTAAAATTAATACTATGAAACTCTCAGGAATATGTAAATTGGTAAAGCCTTCTTAAAAGCATGTTTGGCCAAACCAAGTCCCTTAAAAAAAATGCCCCGTGTGTCATTCAAGACACATTCAGGAAAGCAGAAATATACCCAATCTTTTAAGAGAAAATTTAATATACAGAATTAGTTGAGTAGGTATTGAAAGATTGACTTGGTCCAAAACTGACAGTGTAGTGGCAGGAAACAGATCTTACTTATTCAAGAGGAGTCAGAGGAAGAGTTTGGGATTATTAGAACCTAACTATACAAACGAGGATATGGACTAGACCAGGTCCCAGACCTCTGAGGGAGGATATTGCTTGGCAGCACTAGGGTCTCTGAAGGCTGGCCAGGTTGGTAACTTAGGACTATTAGACAGGGCTGAAAACAGACATTGATTGCCATCACAGGAGTAGAGAGCCACTGCTGACAAGAATGAGAGGATCCAAGTCCCTTGCCTCTGTTAGCCATTTTATAGTTACCTTGCAGTGCCTCCTATCGGTCTGCTGGCAAAAGGAAAATTCTGTAGTCCAAGCCCTGAGTCATGAAGCAAGCCTAAAGAATGTTCCTGATCTGAGACTACTTAATACCAGCTCATCTTCTTACTTGTAAATTTAGCCCCCAGTATTTTATTCTGTGGGAATATGAATCTGTGTACGTGCTTGTGGTAGATGGCATCCACCATAACTTACAAATATGGCACAGTGAAATGTATCTGCTGATTGTAGGTAAATTAAATACATATATTCGCCATGAAATGTATTGTTTTCAGTGGTTAAGTAACAAAAGGTAAAAAAAAAAAATCCATGTTTTGGTACACAGTGCAGAGAGGGATATTAATAATGAGTTGGTCTGCTGTGAGGCTTGAACTTTGCCTGGGTCCTGTCCCTGAGCTTCCAGTGCCACTTTTGGTTTTTGGTGGCTAATTGGAGGTAAGAGTCTGACCGGGACTTTTCTGCCCAGGCTAGCTTTAAACCACGATCTTTTATCAGTGGTTAAAAAAGAAAGACAAAAATCAATCAAATGTACTTAGTACTTTGGAACCCTGGGCCTATCACTATGATGTCAGGAGATCTGTCTGTATGCCTACGTCTTATGGGAAAAGGGCAAGGCTGGATGGGGCTCACTAGCCATGTTCCAGGAGATAGGGAGTACTATTCTTTTTCCCTTCCATGGAACAGTGTGCCCTCCAGGCTGGACCACCTCTGTGGTCAATGATAGATGAAGTTTGTCCTAATAATAGCTACCACTCATCAAATACTTGCTAATCCGTTCACTTGATCTGTGTAGCAGTCCTAAGGACAGATACTATAAATACCTACATCTTACAAAAGAGGAAACTAAAGCTCAGAAAGGTCAGGGGATTGTGAAGGTCAGCAGCTTGTGAGTGGCAGCATCTCAGAGGTTCGATGCAGGTGCCAGGCACCAAGGACCTTCAGTGCCTCCACAGTGCCTCCAGATTCCCTGGTCTGCTGATTACGTCCTATTCCATCTGACTGTCAGATGTGGTTTAGAGTTGTATAACACATAATCGATCAGTGAAGCAAGCTCTTCTTAGGCCACAGACAGAGGGTTCTAACTTAGGAAATGCTTGGCTTCGGCTTTTGTTTCAAAAATAAAGTTAGGGGCTGGGAAGGTGGCTCAGTGGTAGAGCGCTTGCCTTGCATGCTTGAGGCCCTGGGTTCGATTCCTCAGCACCACATAAGCACAAAGAAAAAAGCCGGAAGTGGTGTGTGGCTCCAGTGGTAGAGCGCTAGCCTTGAGCTGAAGAACTGAGGGACAGCGCCCAGGCCCAGAGTTCAGGCTCCATGACCGGACCCAAAAAAAAAAAAATTTAAGTTCTTGAAGGAACAGATTGTTGTAATATTTTGAACCCTAACTTTATTTTTATTTATTTATTTATTTTTTGGGTCCGGTCGTGGAACCTGAACTCTGGGCCTGGGCGCTGTCCCTCAGCTCTTCAGCTCAAGGCTAGCACTCTACCACTTGAGCCACAGCCCCACTTCCAGCTTTTTTCTTTTTGCTTATTTGGTGCTGAGGAATCGAACCCAGGGCCTCATGCATTCAAGGCAAGCACTCCACCACTGAGCCACCTTCCCAGCCCCAAGAACTTAAACTTTTGAAGACAGGAAAATCACAGATAAAGCAAGACTGACTTCCAGACTCTTCCCTTCCTCTAAGCTGATCTGAATGGTTAAAGCCAGCATGGCTGAAGTAGAGCCCACCACAAATTCAGCCAGTGTTTATGGTATTCCTACTGGGCAATACCAGAATCCCTTAGTGGGAGATAGTGGGAGGTAGAATGACACTGGGAGAAAGGTATGGGCAGAGGTGGGCTACTTCTGGAATGATATTTAGAGGAAGTCTGAGGACATGAGATGACTGTGTGAGCTGTTGATAGTTTTCAGCCACAGTGTGGCAGAAAAGCAACAGCCAATGAGTGTAAAATCCTTGGGCAAGAAGTCTCACAGCAACAAGAGTGTGGTGGGAGATAAGGTTAGAGGTCAAGCTTGCTTGGTTTTAAGGACTTCTAAACTATGACTTGGGAAATGGGACTTGGACCATTGTGATATTGAGGAGACTTTAGGAGCAGATTTTTTTTAAAAATTGGATAGATGTAAACTGATGGATAATAAATTAACAAATTAGCCTCTGCTATGTTCAGAATGGAATCTAAACATGGACAGCTTTGGATGCTAGGAGGTGCAATGCCAGTCCGAGCTTCTGTCTCTTCTGGGCTCAACTTAAATTGCTCACTCTCCACTCTGTAGTTCACAGTTCTACAAGCAAACTGGCATTTAGTTCATCTGAAGATCTGAACGTGAGAGGTGTTATTATCGTGTTCTGTTTTTTATTATTTAATAACTATTTTCTCTTTTGGTCATGGGAAATGTATACTTAGGAAATAGAGAAAATAGAAAGAAAAAAAAAAGCCAGATGCTGGTGGCTCACACTTGTAATTCTAACTACTCAGGAGGATGAGATCTGAGAATCTTTGTTCGAAGCCAGCCTGGGCAGGAAAGGCCATGACATTTATCTCCAATTAACCAGCAAAAAGCCCAAAATGGAGCTATGGCTCAAGTGGTAGAGGATCCTTAATTGAAAAAGCTAAGTAAGAGTGAGTGAAAGGCCCTGGTGAGGTAAGGAAGGAAAGAAAGAAGGGAAAGGAGGGAGGGAGAAAGAAAGGGAAGGAAAGAAACAAAAAGATAGGAGGGCAGGCAGTTTTGCTCTGTATCTTTCCAGTCACTTTATTTTTGCAAGGCTGTGATTGGCCCAAACTCTCCATATAGATTTTACTTGATATATTACAAAAAGGTTTCATATTCTGTTTTGGGGCATTTGGGTATTTATTGATTTTTTTTTCTGTAATAAAAATAGTACTTTGCCTTTGGGCTAGGAACATAGCTCAGTGCTAGTATGTTTGCCTAGCAGAGCAAAGCCCTGTATCCTAGCCCCAGCACCACACACACCAAAACAACAACAACAAAAAACTTCGTTAATTTTCATTGAAATCAGACTTGAGAATATATTTTCTCAAGTAGTTTGTGACCAGAGGGAAGGAAGTGTGTTGATAGTTTGTGCTGTATTTTGCCAAATTGTCTTTAGAGAAATTGTGTCACCATTTTCCCAACAGTGTATGTACTCTGCCAATTTCTCCAGATCTTCAGTTGTGTTCATTCTTGTCACTTACAAATGTCTGCAAATTACCAGCTGGGCTCTAGTAATTCACACCTGTAATCCTAGCTACTCAGGAGGTTGAGATCTCAGGATCCCAGTTTGAAGTCAGACTAGGCAGGAAAGTCCATGAGACACTTTTTTTTTTTTTTGTCAGTCATGGGGCCTGAACTCTGGGCCTAGGCACTGTTCCTCAGCTCTTCAGCTCATGGCTAGCTTTCTACCATTTGAGCTATAGCGCTTTTTTCTTCTTATATGGTGCTGAGGAATCGAACCCAGGACCTCATGCATGCAAGGCAAGCACTCTACCACTGAGCCACCTTCCCAGCCCTCCATGAGACTCTTATCTCCAATTAACCACCAGAAAACAGAAGTGGCAATATGGCTCAAGTGGTGAAAAGCTCAGGGACAGCACCCAGACCCAGAGTTCAAACCCCATGACTGACAAAGAGAGAAAGAGAGGAAGAAGGAGAGGGAGAGGGAGGGAGGGAATGTTAGTGAAACAGAGTATTTAAGCATTTAACATGTACATATCCTTCAATAAAATATAACCCAATTTTTTTCTACACAAGCTCATAACTTTTCTCTTGGTTTATGTGCAAGATGTAAATCAAATTTTATCTCTGATTTTGCAGATTTATATTCCTTCAGTATCGTAGTGGCAATAACTATTTGGAAAGGACATGTCCCTTAGTCCCTTTGTCTTTTTTCTTTAGACGTGGAGCACACTGGAGCTACCAGCGAGTTCTATGACAAGTTCACAATCCGCTATCACATTAGTACCATTTTTAAAAGCCTTTGGCAAAACATTGCTCATCATGGCACCTTTATGGAGGAGTTCAAGTGAGTATGGGCTCCTAATGCCACAACCTGCTCTCCCTTGAGTCAGGTAGGGTTGTTGTAACTTTTTTTTTTTTTTGGGTCCGGTCGTGGGGCCTGAACTCTGGGCCTGGGCGCTGTCCCTCAGCTCTTCAGCTCAAGGCTAGCGCTCTACCACTTGAGCCACAGCGCCACTGGGTTGTAACTTTTTAAAAGCTTTCACAGCTGGGTTCCTGTTGACTTTTCTTCCTCTCAGCTTTGGATGGACATGCTGGCCCTGACGTACTGCTGCATGTGGCACAGTTCTCTAAATGTCTGTGCTATACAATATTGCTTAATTCCAAATTAGTCCCCATACTTTGGGGGTGGGTTACATAGAAGAAATTTATGTTAATGTTCTTATGAGTTTATTCTGTTTTGTTTTTTGGTGATTTTTCTGACTGCTCAGAAAATTTTGAATTATTTATCAAATGACTTTCATGAGCCAATAAAGGTAGCTCCAGCAAGCCACTAGATAGAATGAGTTTATCACAGTGAATTAAAAAGAATAAGCATAGTAGATGTGCTGCACATACCTGTAATCCCAACACTTGGGAAGATGTCAGGAAGCTCATGAGTTTAAGGTTAGTGTGGGCTGCATGAGACCCTGTCTCAAAAATATACAACAAGCCAGGCACTGGTGACTCATGTCTATAATCCTAGCTACTCAGGAGGCTGAGATCTGAGGATCATGGTTCAAAGCCAGCCTGGGAAGTAAAGTCTATGAGACTATCCAATTAATACCAGAAAACCGGAAATGGCACTGTGGCTCAAGTGGTAGAATGTTAGCCTTGAGCTGAAGAGCTGAGGAACAGTGCTCAGGCCCAGAGTTCAAGTCCCACAACCAACAAAAAACACAAAACAAAACATTCAACACCCAGCAAGATGATTTAGGCCTGTCATCCCAGCTACTCAGAAAGATTTAGGTTCAAGGTCAGCCTGGGTAAAAAGTTAGACTTCATCTCAACAAGCAAATCTGACCGTGGTGGTACACTGCTGTAATCGCAGCTACTTGGGAGGCATAGGTAGGAGGAGGGTGAGGTGATCCTAGGCTGGTCCAGGCAAAAAGAAAGAACCTAAAACCAAAAAAGACTAAAGGCACAGAAATAGAGGGATAAAAGGTGAACAAGTGTAGCAGTGGTACTTATTAGACACAATGTTGAAAATGAACTATACAGCTTGTGGTAAGAACAGGAGGGAAAAACTGGGAAGTGAGAGGGAAGGGGTGACACTGTCCAAAAAGAAACATACTCTAAGTGATTTATGTAACTGTAACACCTCTGTACATCATCTGTATAATAACAAATAATGGGGCCGGTCACCGGTGGCTCACACCTGTAATCCTAGCTACTTAGGAGGCTGAGATCTGAGGATCATGGTTCAAAGCCAGTCCGGGCAGGAAAGTCTGTGAGACTCCTATCTCCAATAAACCACTAGAAAACTGGAAGTGGCGCTGTAGTTCAAGTGGTAGAGTGTTCACCTTGAGCTGAAGAGCTGAGGGACAGCGCCCAAGCCCAGAGTTCAAGCCCCATGACCGACAAAAAACAAAGGGGGTGGGGGAAGTACTGGGAGTGTGGCTTAAGTGGTAGAGCACTGAGCACAGGGTCCTGAGTGTTGCCAAGGGAAGCAGTATGGAGGGTGACCTGCTGACACAGGAAGCCTCTCTCCTTGCCACAGCCCTGCTGGACATGACCATACTCCTCTTGCCATTATAGTTCTGGGAAGCAGTTCGTGCGCTACATAAACATGTTGATAAACGATACGACGTTTTTGCTCGATGAAAGTCTGGAGTCGCTGAAGCGGATCCATGAAGTGCAAGAAGAGATGAAGAACAAAGAGCAGTGGGACCAGCTGCCTCGGGTGAGAATGGGCCCAGTGCTCCCACAGCTTTGTCAGGAATCAGCCACCGGGGGACTGACTTACTAAGGGCTTCGAGATTCTAACCCAGCCTTGGGATAGGAAAAAGCTTAAAAAAAAAAAAAAAAGGTGAAACTTAAGAATTGGGGCTGGGAGTGTGGCTCAGTGATAAAGTGCTTGACTAGCATGTATGAGGTTCCCAGAGGAAAAAAGTTCCATTGAGCTTGCAGAGGTTATTTTATTTTGTGCCTCAGTATCAGCACAAAAATAAAAAATGGGGGAAAAAAATGAGATGACAACTTTTTTAAATGCATCGTTCTCTGCATTTTTAGTTTAAGAAGCTTTTTTATAGAAGAGCTTTCATTGTCTAAATATATTAGGATTTGTAGCAGGATGCAATAGTTCATGCCTATTCCTATAATCCTGTTTATTCAAGTAGTGGAGAATGGGAATATTGAGATTCAAGGCAAGATCCTATCTCATTAAAAAAAAATATATATATATATGTGTGTGTGTGTGTGTGTGTGAGATGGAAGATTAAAGTTAAAGGCTGACCCCAGGCAACAGAAAAGGCCGGGGGCATAACTTAAGTGGTAGAGCAATTACACAAGACTCGGTTCAAATTTCAGTACTCTATGTGTGTGTGTGTGTGTGAGAGAGAGAGAGAGAGAAATGTGGAAGTAAGTAGGAAATCTCTAGACTTGCCTCTAGAATTTGGTGTGCTAATGTGGTCTTCACATCCTTGTCTAGCCAAAATGCTCAAGCTATAATAAGCTTAATCCTTACCAGGGGTGTTGCCCCAGGTCCATGTGTGCTGGAGTCCCTTCCCTCCACGCTCTCATGCATCATGGACCCCTCTAATTGTGCTGAGATAATGTGACAGTCTTTTGGAGGGGAGGGAAATCTGTGCTGATCCCACTGCCCTCATGTTCATTTCTAAGATACAGTACAAAATCCTTCAGCTCCCCATCTTCCTTAGCATAGAGTCAATCCCCCAGCTCCCAGATGTATCTCTAAGAGAACTTCTTTGGCTCACCTCCATCACAGGCAGCAGGTAGTAAGTACCAATCTGAACCAGACTGTGGACTGCTGAAACCATGCTAGAACATCAGAAGGTGTAGCTGAAAGAGCGCAGCTCTGGTCCCTAAGGTGATCTGGGTTTGAGAACTGACACTGCCTCACTCAGAGTTCTGTAACCAGAAAACATCTGCCTTGCAAGAACGCAGAGAGGACAGAACATATTTAGCTAGGATTTATCCAGATGCTCAGTGTGTACACTCCTATTCCTCATAGGTCCTGTCCTAGTCCTGCTTCATGGCTAGCCTTCTCACCTTCCTCCTACCTCAGTAGAAACTCAGCTAAGACCCACTAATCCTTCAGGGGCTGGATACCAGGTCTGTAACACATTCTCTTGGACAGAGTGCTTGATAAGTATTTGTTTATGAGACAACAGATACTATTCTTTTTTTTTTCATCAGTGGATATACAGAGATACCGAGTCCCTAACAGTTGCTATTTCAGAAATCACTCTCCTGTGACTTCACAGTTGCTTGCTGCCTCCCGCTTCCCTGGCTCTCCTTGCGAATCTTCCCAGCCTCCCAGTGCTGGCCGGCTCCGGCTCAGCCCTCAGGTTTCTCTTTCTCCCTCTCCCCAGGTTAGTGTTTCTCAGGTGCGATACTGGTAGGGATTTCAGACATAGAGGAGCTTTGCTGTAGTAAGTAGCAAACTCTTCACAACTAGAAACTGCCCTACGTTGTAGGACTCTTAACATCTCTGGCTTCTGCTCATTACATACCCGTGACATCCCCACCCCAGTGATAAAATCATAAAGCACTCCCACTCTTAACCCAGTGCCTCCAGCTGGAAAGCCCTGCCAGGGGACTTCATCTATTCCAAAGCGTTAAATACCAGATCTCCAAAATATACCTCTCTACCTTCAATATGCCCTGTCACTACCTGGGACCCAGTATCAGCTTGCCTGCTCTGGGGGAGTCTAGTATGTATCTCAGACTTAACTTGTGCCAGACTGAACCTGTGATGTCCTTGGAATCCCCTCAATAAATGTCAGCTTCACTCTACCATTTGCCAGTTAATCAGCAAAAATTTAGAACTGAAGATGTGGTTCAAAGAATAGAACATCAGCTGTAAACACAAAAGCTGAGCAAGAGCTTTAGGCCCCGAGATCAAGCCCCATACCAGCACAAGTGTCAAAGTACTTGCCTATGCTGCACAAGGCCCTGGGTTATACCCTCAACACTGCTTTAAAAGAGAGAGAGAGAGAAGAAAAAGTGTAGAGATAAGTAGAAACAGGCAGGCAGGAAGATCTATGAGTCTTTACTCTCTGACCTTTTCCTACACCTCCAGGACCACAGTTGGGTCTTCCCTTATTACTGCAGTAGCCCACTCTCCATCTCCCAGCTTCTGCCCTTGCCTGTGTCCACAGCCGAGATCCGCTGTTAAAATCTCAGCCTTCTCAGTACCACCCTGCTTAGAGTCCTCTGGGCTTCGCTTCAACACACTCAGTTCCTGCGTGCAGGGTGTGGCCTTCAGTGTTTGCAATACCAAGCTGGGTGCTAGTGGCTCATGCCTGTAATCCTAGCTACTCAGGAGGCTGAGATCTGAGGATAGCGGTTCAAACCCAATCTGGGGAGGAAAATCCATGAGACTTTTATCTCCAATAAACCACCAGAAAACTGGAAGTGGCATTGTGGCTTAAGTGGTAGAACATAGCCTTGAGCTGAAGAGCTGACGGACAGCACCTAGGCACAGAGTTCAAGCCCCATAACCAACAAAAAAACAGTTTGCAATACTTTTCTATATTCAGCTCCTGATACGCTTCTGCTCACTCTACCCCCTACACCAGCCTCTCTGCCTGCCCTCATGCTGGTTCCACAGAGGTTTGCTGATCCCTTCCTTTATTCTCCTAGATATCACCCCTACAGAGAAGCCTTCCCTGACCAGTTTCCACAGCAGCATCCTCTGTTTCTCTCTACTTTCTCATTTCCACTTTTTTTCTCTTTACCCTGCTTCATTCTTTGCTGTCACTGTCCCACTTATTAGATGTGTTTCTTGGGATGGTGGTGACTCAACAAAGTTTCACTAAGCTCCAGCAGGGTATGGAGCTGCCCTGCGCCTGTACTGTGCTCTGCATTAGTACCTGAAGAACATCTGGTCTGGGGGAACTTACGTATTCTAGGCAGGAATGATATGACCCGGCCCCACACTGGGCTTCTGCATGCAGCCTTTCTTTCACTAAGCTCATTCTTTTTTTTTCTTTTTTCTTTTTTGTGGGGAGGTCCGGTCGTGGGGCCTGAACTCTAGGCCTGGGCACTGTCCCTCAACGCTTCAGCTCAAGGCTAGCACTCTACCACTTGAGCCACAGTGCCACTTCCAGCTTTTTTTTTCTGCTTATTTGGTGCTGAGGAATCGAACCCAGGGCCTCATGCATTCAAAGCAAGCGCTCTACCACTGAGCCACCTTCCCAGCCCCTCACTAGGCTCATTCTTGACCAGGGAGCAGTGGGCAGGCCCCCAACCTCCCTGCAGAAGCTCCACCAGACCCCAGCGAAGCTCTGACCTAGCAGACACTCACTTAGTTCTTTGTCCCTCTAAGCAGATGGAAACATTTAAGTCTTTGCTGAGATGTAGGCACAGAGCCATCCTATGTGCTACCTGGTTTACCTATAAGCCATATATCTCAGCCTGTGGCAGAATTGAGGAAGGATGATGGTGCCAGAGGCAAGCATGCTGACAGCTAGAAGGGGTGACAACCTGATACTGTGGAAAGACAATTGAGAAAGTTTGTAGACACTGGGTGCCGGGTGCCAGACAGGATGGACAGGCCTGTACTGCATCATGTATCTTTATACAGCAGTGACTAAGCAAAAATTCTTATTAAGGGAAACAGACTTGGTGGATATAGCACTAATGTGTGCTAGGTCCAATGTTAGAACCACTGAATTCATTCTCCATGGAAATTGACTCTGAATACTTTACCTTGGAAAGCTTAAGGCTCACTAACGTTCAATAGTACGTCAGGGCTGGGTAGCTCAGCAGTAGAGCATGTGCTTAGTACACACAAAGCCTTGGAGTCAATCCCCACCATGCACACATGCACGCACACATGTACGCACACCCACACATAATGCCAAGGCTATGTGACCCAAGGTCCTAAAGAGTTGTAGTGTTAGAAGAAATGAACTTATGCTTTCTGCACCCCTTTGCTGGAGGTTCTTATCTCATTCTCCGAGCATGTTGGCTTCCTCCCACTTCTCCAGTTAGGAGCTGACTATGTTTTTCCTTTGCACTTGGTGCTTTGGTGGGCTGATGACTGACACTGAGGTTTATTTGGCATCTGTTTCCTAGGATCAGCAGCAGGCCCGGCAGTCTCAGCTTGCTCAGGATGAGCGCGTTTCACGCTCTTACCTCGCGTTGGCAACAGAAACCGTGGATATGTTCCACATCCTCACGAAGCAGGTCCAGAAGCCATTCCTCAGACCAGTGAGTAGAAACTGAGGGAGTATTTGTTTTGTCTGTCAGATGCTACAATCAGGCTCCAGCACTTAAAATGTAATACAGTTGTTGAAACCCTGGAAATTTGGACCTCACAATCAACAATTAGTGAAATTCTGTTGCTAATTTTGTTCCCAGTTTTGCTCATTAATACACATATAACTCTGCTGATAGACTTGGAATGAAGATTCTGATGTTTGCACATGTCTACACGTGCTCACATCCAAGATGACTTTATTATTCTTTCTGCTGAGACAGTACATTGGATTATTGATGTTGATGTTGTGGCACATTTTTATCATTATTGATTCCTATATTTTATTTAGAAGAAAAGTACAAAGCACCATAAATTAGAACTTGGCATACATTTAGTAGGACGATTGACGATGTGTGGTTCTCTTAGAAGTAGCTTTGCACATAGAAGCAGCCAAAGGCTAATAAGAAGCCACAATTAGAATTTATGAAAGATCAGAGTCAGCCAAAATGTTTGACTTTGACTTTATTAATAAGACCTGGATCCTATTTCTGAACTTGAAATTGAAAAATATAACTGCAGGTCTGTTTCTTTTTGACTGTCTCCACTATATAGTATGCCTTTGTGGAGAAAAGCTGTCTTTACAGTGGATATAATTTTCCGGTGTATTCCCTCTGGTTTTTCTATTTACCTGTAGATCCGTCATGTCTTCCCCAGCACAAGCATTATCACTCTGGGGGTGTGTGTAGCTCACGATATGCTTCCCTCCTTCTCTCTCCCCCCATTTTCATCTCCTGTCTTTATAAATGGATTTCAGTGCAAGAGCAAATGGAACTTGAGACAAAACAACTCATGGTTAAGATTCCTGCTTCCCTTGGCTGGGAAGGTAGCTCAGTGATAGAGTGCTTGCCTTGCATGCATGAGGCCCTGGGTTCAATTCCTCAGCACCACATAAATAGAAAAAGCTGTGGCTCAAGTGGTAGAGCACTAGCTTTGAGCCGAAGAGCTTAGGGACAGAGCCTAGGCCCAGAGTTCAAGCCCCACAACAGACCAAAAAAAAAGACGGGGCTGGGAAGGTAACTCAGTGGTAGAGCGCTTGCCTTGCATGCATGAGGCCCTGGGTTCGATTCCTCAGCACCACATAAGCAAAAAGAAAAAAGCCGGAAGTGGCGCTGTGGCTCAAGTGGTAGAGCGCTAGCCTTGAGCTGAAGAGCTGAGGGACAGCGCCCAGGCCCAGAGTTCAGGCCCCACAACCGGACCCAAAAAAAAAAAAAAAAAAGATTTCTACTTCCCTTACAGATTTACTTCTTTTTCTTTTTTTCCTTCTGTCATGAGGCCCTTGAACTCAGGGCCTAGGTGCTATTCCTGAGCTCTTTTGCTCAAGGCTAGCATTCCACCACTTTGAACCAAAGCTCCGCTTTTTTTTTTTTTGGTTTTTGGATTTGTCAGTCATGGGGCCTGAAAACTGGGCCTGAGCACTGTCCCTCAGCTCTTCAGCTCAAGGCTAGCACCCTACCACTTGAGCCAGAGTGCCACTTCTGGCTTTTTCTGCTTATGTGGTGCTGAGAAATTGAACCCAGGACCTCATGCATGCGAGGCAAGCACTCCACCACTGAGCCACCTTCCCAGCCCCTAAATTAGCTCCACTTTTTGAGTGGTTAATTTGAGATAAGAGTCTCACTGGGCTTTTCTGCCTGAGCTGGCTCTGAACCAATCCTCAGATCTCAGCCTCCAGAGTAGCTAGGATTATAAATGTGAGCCATGGGCTGGGAAGGTGGCTCCGTGGTAGAACATTTGCCTTGCATACATGAGGCACTGGGTTTGATTCCTCAGCACCACATAAGCAAAAAGAAAAAAGCCAGAAGTGGCGCTGTGGCTTATGTGGTAGAGCGCTAACCTTGAGCTGAAGAGCTGAGGGACAGCGCCCAGGCCCAGAGTTCAGGCCCCACGACTGGACCCAAAAAGAAAAAAAAGTGTGAGCCACCAGCACTGCCTGGCACAGATTTACTTCTATAAAGACCAAATAATGAGTCGTTTAAAGATGTTCTGAGGACTTTGGGCACGGCTCAAGTGTGATGCCCTCCTTTCAATCTCAAGTTCCATATACATACATACATGTGTACACACATACATATATACAAATCTAAAAGTATTATGCCATGCTCTTGCAGCTTGAGAGCAGTCACAGCCAGTATGTGAATAAGCCTGGCTATGTTCTGATAAAACTATTTATAAAAGAGGCATAGTTGCCAGGTGCCAGTGGCTCTCACCTGTAATCCTAGCTACTCAGGAGGCTTAGATCTGAGATCATGATTCGAAGCCAACCCAGGCAGAAAATTCTCCTTGAGACTTTTATCTCTAATTAACCACTCAAAAACCAGAAGTGGCACGTGGCTCCAAGTGGTAGAGTGCCAACCTTGAGCAAAAATGCTTAGGGACAGTGCTCAGGCCCTGATTTCAAGCCCCATGACCAGTAACAACAGCAACAACAAAGAAGCCAGAAGCAGGACTGTGGCTCAAGTGGTCGTGCCAGCCTTGAGCAAAAAAGCTAAGCAGTTGTGCCCCTGCCCTGAGTTTAAGCTTCAGTAATGGCACACACAAAAAAACAGAAAAGAAAAAAGAAGCGTGGCTATATTCCAGTAAAATTTTACTTCCAAAATGGAGACATCAGATAAATTGGCCAGTAGATAGTATTTTGCCAGCCCCTGCTCTAAACCACATTTTATTTTATATACAGTGACTCTGGTGGCAGTGCCGTTTGGATACTAGAAGGTAGGAAGCTATAGTATATAAAGCCTATTTTTAGTAAGAATTTCTCCATTTTGTAAAGGAAGTTAATTTCGTTCAAGGCCTCTCACAAATCTGCTCCAGCCTATGGCTCTGTTCTTTTACCCCGAGACTCAGGTCTGCATCTGATATGATGCTTCCATTGCCTTTGCTTCCTTCACCCTTTTGCTCCTTTATGGCTAGCCCCAAACTGTACAGAACTGTCCTACTTTAAAGTAAAATGGCTAGATGCCCTCTTATTTATAGCTGCTCAACAACAACTCAGGAGTGCTTTGTGCAAAAGCATCGTCTTGAAAGGTTGAATATGGGGCAAAGTTGTGTAAACAGGCATATTGCACAGGAGCCTTGTTCAGACCCTTTTCTAATCTGTGCCAGGTTTTCCTCTGGATGTAAGAGCAAGATCTGCCTGACCACAGTGCATACTGTCTCCTTGTGGGCTTATCATCTTTTCTGATGGTTGGATATGGGTTCACTTTGTCTCATTGGCTATATTTAAAACTATTGAAGACAAATTTTCTATTTTGTATTTCTTGTGTCTGATAAGTAAATAAGATCGGCACATGTTTAACTGTCAGGGACTTCTGAAATTTATGGAAAACATTACATGAAGTGATGCCTGGAAAAGCAGACCTCCCAACCTCCTCTTTCATGTTTCTCGATGGTTCTGAAGTGGTACTTCTGTAATTAAAAGCATGGACTTTTTAAAAAACCTTTTGTTGGTGTCTCTCAGTCTGCCATTTCCTTGTACCATTGCATTAAGTATTGGAATTTCCAGATGAGACAAGGGACGTTGGCTATGATGCTGGTCCTTTCCTGTATGGGAGTCTTTGAGGATGAAACCAGCTGCTCCTCCTCTGAGCCAGGAGTTTGGGGTCCTCAGTGTTCATCTCACAGCATGAATGGTCCTGTCATCCTGTGACTTCCAGGAACTTGGACCCCGATTGGCTGCGATGCTGAACTTTAATCTACAGCAGCTCTGTGGCCCCAAGTGTCGTGACTTGAAGGTGGAGAACCCAGAGAAGTATGGCTTTGAACCCAAGAAGCTGTTGGACCAACTGACAGATATTTACCTGCAGCTGGACTGTGCTCGGTTTGCGAAGGCCATTGCCGACGACCAGGTCAGTGCCTTCTGAGAACTGGGCACTCTGGTGATGAACTCCTCTGCACGCTCTTACAGAGACAACATCCACCCTGAATTTCCCCACCTGATAGGAGGGAAGTGATACTTCTCAAATTGTGGTTTGAGAAGCTTCTAGTATGTAAATGGAAGTATTGCCCACAGTGGTAAAAGTGGAGATGAATTGGTTTGTTTTCTTGAGCAGTAAAGAGCAAATCTGGCTTCCTGATGTTTCCTAGTTGAGTTCTGACCCCATCTTGCTAAACTTGTGCTTGCTCCTGGTCTTCTGTGCTGCATCAGCTTCCACATAGTGGTGGCCCATGTTTATTAATTGGTATGCCACATTTAACTTTTTATGTCTTCACTCATTAAATCCTCACAGAAATACATAATGTGCTCTCTGCTGTACTTCTCATTTTTAAAATGAGGAAACTAAGGCACAGAGGTTAAATAGCCTACTTAAACTCCCAAAGTCAGTGGGATGGGGGCAGAACTTTTTACATCTGGCCCTGCACTACATTCTCACCCTCTCCTCACCTTTAAATGCCCAGAGGTGCCATGCATGTGTCTGTGGCTCCACCTTTACTCACGTGATTGGTCCACAAATTGCCATCAGTAGGCATTCTAGAATCTTCTTTACCCATATCTCACCCAAAGAGAAAATAGTAAAATGAGTATATCCAGTGGGTTTTTTTTTTACTCTTTTGTTTTTGGCAGGTTTTTCTATATAGACCAAGCTGACTTTAAGCTTGAAATTACCTATCTCAGCCTCCTGATATCTAAGATTATAGTAGTGATGGTGCTGGAGTTTGAACCTAAGACCTCAACACTTGCTGGGCTAGTGCTCTACCACTTGAGCCACACCTCCATATTTATAATGGCTTTTTCATACAAGCAAAGGAAGCAGTCATAACAAAGTATCCACAATGAAGGAAAAGAACATATCTAAAGCAGTTTTTCCATAAAATAGGGTTGTAAAGGAGAGGTTAGGAAACTGTAGTCATTTGGGGGAGATGTTAAAAATGTACTGTTTTTCTTGCTCACAACTGTGTAATAGTGTACATATATATGTGTGTGTATGTATATATACACATACATGTATATATAAATTTGAAGGTAAGTGGTAGTCTGTAGTGAGGGAAGGAAAATTGGAAACACCCATCAAGGTGGGTGTACAAGGTAGATTCTTATACAGACCAACATTGTAGCTGGGTGTCTCCTGCCTGGAGGTGAATGACACAGCCCGTGGGCTCCTCATCTCTACTGCTGAGAGACTGGAAGCAGTCTTCAACACACTCCTTCTTCTCCAGCAGGTCTTGTTGTGCCTGCACATCACACAGATTTCTCCTGGCCAGATGCATTATGTGATGAGGATGCCTGCGCACACTTTTGAGCCAGTGGGACAAAAGAGAATTCTGGGAGATTCCCACACTGCTAATGATCAGTCTGTGGGGGGTGGGGGTGGGGTGGCCTGGCCTGTACAGGAACCTCCATGAGTCACAGACACACTCCTCCAGTGACACATGGGAAACAGAACATTTGGGGGAGCGGGGGAGACGCAGTGCTGAAGACCCCAAACTCAGGTTCTTATACTTAAAAGGTAAACTCGGGCTGGGAAGGTGGCTCAGTGGTAGAGTACTTGCTTCGCATGCATGAGGCACTGGGTTCGATTCTTCAGTACCACATAAACAGAAAAAGTCAGAAGTGGTGCTGTGGCTCAAGTGGTAGAGCACTCACCTTGAGCCGAAGAGCTGAGGGACAGTGCCCAGACCCAGAGTTCAAGCCCCACAACCGACAAAAGGAAAAAAGGCAAACTCACTTTTTTTTTTTTTTTGGTCTGTCATGGGGCTTGAACCCTGGGCTTGGGTGCTGTCCCTGAAGCTCTTCAGCTCAAGGTGAACGCTCTACCGCTTGAGCCACAGTGCCACTTCCAGTTTTCGAGTGGTTTATTGGAGATAAAAGTCTCACTGACTTTCCTGCACGGGTTGGCTTTTAACCGCGATACTCAGACCTCAGCCTCCTGAGTAGCTAGGATTACAGGCGTGAGCCACCAGCGCCCAGTGCAAACACACTTTTGTTGAGCCAGATTCCCTAACCCTGAGAGCAAAGCATGAATGTGGTATCTTTGCTTTCTTTTATAGGTGTTGATTGTTCTGATTGTTGGGCATTGTTTGTTCATATTGGTCATAAGTTGAATGGGAAACTGCCTGCTTGGTTGTTTTAGAAGATGAGTTGAGGGACTAGAATGGAAGAATATCAAGCAAGAAACAGAGGAAAGGGGGCTGGAAATGTGGCTTAGTGGTAGAGTGCTTGCCTTGCATGCATGAGGCCCTGGGTTCCATTCCTCAACACCACTTAAGCAGAAAAAGGTAGAACTGCCAGGCGCCGGTGGCTCATGCCTGTAATCCTAGCTACTCAGGAGGCTGAGATCTGGGGATCAGGATTCAAAGCCAGCCAGAGCTGGAAAGTCTGTGAGAATCTTGTCTCCAATAAACCACTAGAAAACCGGAAGTGGTGCTGTGGCTCAAGCGGTAGAGCGCTCACCTTGAGCTGAAGAGCTCGGGGACAGCGCCCAGGCCCAGAGTTCAGGCCCCATGACCGACAAAAAACAAAAAGAATCTCATGGACTTTCCTGCCCTGGGCTGGCTTCCAACAGCAATCCTCACATCTTAGCCTCCTGAGTAGCTAGGAATACAGTGTAAACCACTGTGCCTGGCTCTTCCTATATGTTAATTTTGTTTTAAAATGAATGGAAAAGCTGTAGTTATAGAGTGGACACTCATCTCATGTCCTTCATTAGGTTCACCGGCTAATTCTTTGCCAGATATACTGCTGTCTCTATCACACACACACGCATACACACACATATGTGATCACACACAGGCACATATGTGCACATTTTTCCTGAATCATTTCAGTTGCAAGTATGGAGACTCCTAAATACTTGAGCCTGTGTCTCCTAAGAACCAGTACACTTCCCAGTATAACCATATAATCACACCCAGCACATAAAGCATTGATACATAGACTCATCCCAAGTTTGTCACTATGATATTTTCCCTTACCACCCAGTACTGTCTTTTGGCTTCCCTCTACCACCCTGTGCTGCATCCAGGACTTCACTGTATCTACTTACTTGACTGTGTGCCTAATATTCCGATATCTGATTAGAAGTAATTGGACTCTGACTTCCTGTCCTGAAGGCAGATTTTAGTTCAACTGGATGTTGTTTCTCTCAGTTTCTGAGCCATCTGATAGGAGGCAGGCAAAGCATCCTATGGCCTTGGGCTCCTCTGAGCCTCAGTTGTCTCATCAATAAAATGGGAATCATTCCTACCAGTCAGGCTTGTGAGGGCTAAAATTAAACAAGACAATGTGCTGAGCTTACTGCCTCTAAGCGTGGCATTTAGAAAATGCCACAGCCACAATAATAATTATCATTGTTCTGCAACATCACCTGGCTTCACCTAGCAGGAAGGAGCTGGGATCTGGTTTGAAACTAGGATTTCATCCTCAAGACAAATTCCAATCCTGGGCTTATGCTCTAAGAATGGGGCTGTGCCCTGCCAACTGCCTGATTCACTGGTGCTGTCGTCAGGAGGTCTGTGTGGCACACACTCACTGTCATTCAAAATGCCAGACTTTTTTGCTCAAGGTTTTCACTCCGCCACTTGAGCCATAATCCCAACCAAAATTAACTGTTTAAAGCATACTGTTCAGTGGCATGTAGGCCATGCAGAATTGTGTAGCCCTCCTGTTTCTAGGCTGCAGAGTTGAGTTCATCATCCCAAAAGAAAAATCATGCCCACTGAGCAGCCTTTGTCCACATCTCCTAGCTACTATAGCCTGATGTCTCTGTCATTTTACCTGTTTATATTTGACATAAATAGAGCTTTGTAATGTATAACCTTTTCTGTGTCTGGCTTCCTTCATTTAATAATATTTTTGAAGAGCTAAGGGTAAAATACCTGCCTATAAGCATGAGGCCCTAGGTTTGACTCCTACTACCCTGGAAGTAAATAACGTTTGGAAGTTCATCAGATTGTAGAGTTTTTCAGCCCTTCATTCTTTTGTATGCTTGGATTCAACTTCATTCTGTGGCTATGTAAGTTGTTGATTCACTCATCCATAGGTGATCATTTGGGTTGTTTACACCTTTTAACTGTTACGGATAATACTGCTATAAACAATTATGTAAAAGTACTTGACACAGGCAACTGTTTTCAGTTGTTTGAGTATATGCTCAGAAGTAGAATTGCTGGGTCATATGGTAAGCCTGTGTTAAAATTTTTGAGGGGGCCTCATCATTTTCCACAGCTGCCACACTATTTGACACCCCCATACACATCCAAATGGACAGGGGCTCACATTTCTCCACATGCTAACACTTGTTAATATCAGCTAACAAATTTGTTTCCTAAAGAGCCATCCTGGTGGCAGTGAAGTAGTATTTCATAGTGGGTTTGACTTGCATTTCCTTAATTAGAAATACTGTTAAACATTTTTTTGTGTGTTTTCTGGCCATTCACATATTTTCTTGGAAGAAATATCTGCTCAAGTTCTTTGCTTATTTTTAGTTGAACGTATGTTTGTATGTTCTTGTTAGGTTGGAAGAGTTCTTTATATATTGTAGATACTTTGCTCTTATTTGGCTATGCTGAATACATATATTCATGTGAATTTGGTGTTTGCTCTGAAAGGTCCTTAAAGCCAGAAACAGCACCTGTGCTGCTCTGGCACCTGCCACACACACCCAGTCTGAGTGGATGTGGATGCTGCACTTCTGTTGCTCTCTGACGCTAAGTGTCAGGTCCCCTTACAGGAAGTACCCTGTGACTCCTCCATGCACGCCACACTGCTGGAGTTTTGTCGTCATTCACCCTCAAGCAGGCCTCAGTCTGGTGGTTGAACTTATCCTTTGGGAAATTGAGTAGGTGATGTTCTGTGATGGTCACAGATGGGCCACACAGCTGCTTGTCCAAAGAGGTGCACTCCTCCCTAGCTTCAATAGCAGCACTTCCTCTCCTTCATTAGTTCCCTGGCATGTATTCCCTTCTTGTTTTTACTGTAATATTTCAGTCATCTCTCCTTTGTGTCTTACTTGGATCATAGGGAATTAACATTGAATAAACAGTTTGTTGAGCAAGGCCCTGGTAGCTCATGCTATTCCTAGCTATTCACGAGGATGATAGTGGAAAGATTGTGGTTCAAGACCAACCAGTCCCAGGCAGAAAAGTCTGAGTGAACCTATCTGACAAATTACCACAAAAAAGCAGGACTGGAAGCATGACTCAAGTGGTAGAATATCAGCCGAGCAAGTAAGCCAAACAATCACTGCAAGGCTTTTAGTATAACTACCAAGAAAAAAAAGGATTTGGTGAATTAATATAGTAATTTAGCTGTAGACAACTATAATCTGAACTTTTTAGGGTTTCCAAAATTGCCTCTTAGGATTATTGCCAGGCCCAGCCACCCTGCTACCACTTTGCTTGCTGGCTTCTCCTCTCAGCTGCATGGCTGGTAAGAGGAGAGGAGTGTACAGACAGAGCAGCCATGTGTCTTATTTAGAAACTGACATATAAAACAAGAAAGAAGAAAGGGTGTGGAATTTTAATCCAGTGCTCCAGAAGACAGTGACTATTATTAGGTGCATTCATGGCGTCTGTTGATGTGAATCCACAGGGAAAGAAACCACAGGTCCCACTGCTCAGATGTCTGAGCTCTCAGGTGAGAGTCGTGCCATGCAGCCCCACAGTCAGCTGCACTCAGCAGCTCCGAAAGCTGCACAGCTCTTCTCTGGTGGGAGCGCATGCTCTGGTTCTTACTGTCTTACAAGTCAAGGAAAGATTACATCATTCCCTCACTACATTTTTGTCACAAAATCAACCAGTGGCCACTGTTTTGTCTTAAGTACAAATGTAATGACTTTCCTGGGAGGTAAGTCACCATGCCTACTTTACACCTGAGAAATGAACTTAGGAAGTTGGGTGCTGGTGGCTCATGCCTGTATTCCTAGCTACTCAAGAGGCTAAGATCTGAGGATCACAGTTCAAAGCCAGACCAGGTAGGAAAGTCTGTATGACTCTTTAGGCATGAATTCAGGCTCTCGGCACTGTCCAAAGGCTAGCACTCTACCACTTTGAACCATAGCTCCACTTCTGGTTTTCTGGTGGTTAAATTGGAGATAAGGCTCTCACAGACTTTCCTGCCAGGGCTGGCTTTGAATGGTGATCCTTAGATCTCAGCCTCAGGAGTGGCAAGGATTATAGGCTTGAGCCACCAGCAGCCAGCTGTGAGAGTCTTACCATTAATTAACCGGAAGTAGCATTATGGCTCAAAGTGGTAGAGCTCTAGTCTTAAGCAAAAGCAGCTCAGGGACAGCACCTATGCCTAAGTTCAAGTCCCATGACTGACAAAATAAAAATAAAAAAGAAAGAAATGAACTTAGGAAAGTTAGGGACTTGCCAACATGACACAGCTGGAAAGTGATGTCCAGGTATGCCTGGGTACATGGTGGGCACTACTAGTTCTCTATTCTTCCCTGCTTCCAGGCCCTTTCACCTATGGACTGGGGTGGCTCAAAGCCAGTGGGGTACCAGACATCTGATATTGTTGCACTAATGATCTTCAAGAATTGATAGTGTAGGAGGAAGCTCCTTCTAGTATGGACAATATTGTGTTGTTTTTCCCATGTTTACTTGCATGAACAAGAGCTACAATTTCTGCCTCATCATGGGCTGCTAGGGTACAGTGCTTTGCAATACTAAAATGGATTAGATTTCCTTTGTGCCCACTTCAGATTTTCAAAAATCCCCATTTGCCTTACTCCTGCAGCTGTCCCCCTAGATGACAACTTTACACAGTTTGCCACATTGCACCAATCTTGGTGCATGTATAAGCATAAAGTATGTCCTTTTATGTGGCTGCAGATACATAGAGAAAGAGTGGTGAGTAGCTAGTATCATGTGTAGTTGAAAGACCTCAGATCATATTTTGGATATTTTCTGTAACTTTTTTCACCTAAGATCTCATGTTACCTTTCCTCATTTGCAGAGATCCTACAGCAAGGAACTGTTTGAAGAAGTAATTTCCAAGATGCGGAAGGCAGGGATTAAATCCACAATAGCAATTGAGAAGTTTAAGCTTCTTGCTGAGAAAGTAGAGGAGATAGTGGCCAAGAACGCCCGGGCAGAAATCGACTACAGTGATGCTCCGGATGAGTTCAGAGGCAAGTGGCTCAGCTCATGCTCACATCTTTGAGTTAACCTGGAATTGTCTGCTTTTCCTTCTTTGATGGCATCCTTAGTTGCTTTTTTTTTTTTTTCTTTTTGGTCAGTCATGGAACTTGAACTTTGGGTCTGGATGCTGTCCCTGAACTCTTTTTGCTCAAGGCTAGCACTCTAACAGTTTGAGCCACTGTACCACTTCCATTTTTCTGGTGGTTAATTGGAGATAAAGGGTCTCAAAGACTTTCCTGCCACAGCTGGCTTTGAACTGTGATCCTCAGATCTCAGCCTTCTGAGTAGCTAGGATTACAGGCGTGAGGCACCAGCGCTTGGCTTACCCTACAGATTTTAAAGATGATTTTGCCTTTAGGGATTTGCCCTTTCAGAGACTCCTGAGACCCTAAAGAAGGGTCCTGGCTGCTGGGTGCTCCTGTGTCTTTTCTCTGTTGCTCCTTGCAGCACTTGTGACACAGGGGAACGTTCCCTCTGCCGAAGACAGAGTGCGTGCCCTCATCTCACGCTGGTGTCCTTCTCAACTTGGGTACTTGGCAGGCCATTTTGATAGCTGCTCTTTTGGATGTGGTTTTCGTTGGTAGGGGGCTTGGCTTTGCTCTCTTTATCACATTCAGCCTCTATTGTCAAGTCCCTTTGCTTTGTCTCTGCAGACCCTCTGATGGACACCCTGATGACTGACCCCGTGCGGCTGCCCTCTGGCACCATCATGGACCGCTCCATCATCCTGCGGCACCTGCTGAACTCTCCCACTGACCCCTTCAACCGCCAGACACTTACAGAGAGCATGCTGGAACCAGGTAGGGCGGGCATGACTGAGCAGCAGTGCCAACCTCAGTGCAGCCAGAGTCCTGTAACAAGTGATTAGCTGAGATCTGAGGATTGTGGTTTGAAACCAACCCAGGCAGAGAAAACCAAGACTCTTACCTCCAATTAACCAGCAAAAAAGCTGCAAGTGAGGTGTGGCTCAAGTGGTAAAGTACTGAGGCAAAAAAAGGCCAAAGCAAGAGTGTGAGATGCTGAGTTCAAACCTCAGTACTGACCAAAAAAAAAAAAAAAAGAAATTAGCCAAGGAAGGGAAACCTGTCAACTGCGGAGAACTACCCCAGTATGGGTTCTTCCTATGGAAGACATGCCGGCCCTCTGCTTTTTTTTTGCTATCAGTCTAGCACTTCTCTTTCATGAGACTGAAGGAAAGAAAGGCAGGCCTTTTCTTCCACTTTCACAGAGCTATTGCTGAAGAGCCCTCCTGTCTGGGGCATTAATTCCCTTTCCTTTTTCTCTCAGTGCCAGAACTGAAAGAACAGATCCAGGCATGGATGAGAGAGAAGCAGAGCAGCGATCACTAAGCCATCCCTCGCCACTGCTTCTGGAAGCAAGGCCAGCAGGGCAGATACAGGCAGTGTCTGCGGTGAAGCTGCTGCTCAAGCCTTGGCAACCACACATTGCCAGACCCAGAGTGACCAAACAGCAGAGATCTGAAGGCACATGGAGAGACGAGCCCGACTCCTGTACATATATTTAAGTGACAAACACAGTGAAAAGCTTGGGGACGGGTTAGGATTGCCTGTGTAATAAAGCACGTCCTTCACACGTCACAATGGAAGTCTTAGTGATGAGAGGTGGGCGGGGCAGCTTCCCCTTCATCTTTTGTTTTTGTTTTGTTTTGTTTTTGTTTTTAAATCCAGTATCCATTGATTTGATTGTGATTAGAGAACTTGGACCTTTTGCTGCTAAAGAATCTCCACCCCCCCTCCCTCCTTGCCCGACTTGCACTGCTCTGGATTTTTTAAAGAGAAGCAAAAACAAAAACAAACTCCTTTCCCCGACCCTCCAAACCATATATTCTGTGAGATAACTGTGCCTGCGACAAAGTGTTAATCCTGGGATCGTATTTTTATATCATATTCACATATTTGTTTTTTTAATTGGTGTTAGATGACATGATTAATAAAAAAGGCAAGATATTTTCAGAATTTGAATTTCAGTTTTTTTTTCTTTTAAAATGTCCCTTTAAAATTTTTTTAATGTAAAAAAAAAAATGAAGAGAATCCTGTTGCTCTGGTCCTTCTAACAAGCCCTGAATTAGGAATCAAAGCGACAGGTGCAGCCATGGAGTGGCTTCAGTATCAGGACTTGTGTGACTTGGGGTTGGGGAGGGTGAGGGTTGGGTTTTTTAATGCTATGTGACAGTTCTAAACCTTTACCATTCTCCTCTGAGGGTAAATCAATTCCTCAGCCCAGGGTTCATTTGTATGACATGTTCTTTGGGGTTTGGCCTTACCAAAGCAAAAAAGAGGTACAAGAAATGTGGAAGTATGTCTGCCTGTTGAACACCCAGACACACAGCCACGTGAGCATAAGACGCTCCCTCGTTTTGTATTACTGCTCTCCACGCGACAGACTTGAGTTTTGAATTTCCTCTGGGGTAAAAAAGGATTTGAAACCATAAAGTGTTTTGAAGAAATTAAATCTACAAAAACATACTTTCTTTTTTCTTTTCCTTTTTTTCCCCTCCACAGACAATGTCTTTCTCTGTTCAATTCCTAACGCAAACTACAATAAATGGTGATACGCAGTCGGAAGGAATCTTCTTTGAGTCTCTTCTTTTTGTGGAAAGAAAAGGGGGGAGATGCTCAAGAGCCAAATGAGAGCGCCTGTGGTAAATTAGTTTTTCTGGCAGCAATTAGAAGCTTCTATATTTTTTTATTGTGAAAATACCATATAGAGGGGTTACAATTACATGGGCAAGATAATGAGTACATTTCTTATCAAGCATTGTTGCCTCCTCCTTTGTTCCTCCCCCCCCCCGGCCCCCCGGCACCCCGCAGAAGCTTCTGTTTTTAAAATAAAACTTTGCCATCTGCATCAGCCTTGCTGCTGTATTTGGTTCTGGTTTCACCTCTGAGAGGCTGAGCTTTTACGCTGGTGTTCTGTTCTCCAAGAATTGCCTCACCTCAAAGATCTTTTCCCTGGCCTTCCAGGTCCTTACTCAAGCCCTACTCACTCATTAGCATTTAAACTTCCTTATTTATCTATTTAGCTGTTCTGGAGATCAAATCCAGGACTGTGCACATACTAGGTCATCACTCTTCCACTGAGTTCCATCCCTTGGCCTACAGAACCATTTCTCTAAACACCTGAAGTAGTGACTGTGCTAGCAATAGGGAAACAGCACTTCCAAGGCAAAGGCCTTTGTATTTATTTCCAGTTGGTTCTCTCTGTGTGTGTGTGTGTGTGTGTGTGTGTGTGTTTTCTGTTTTAGTACTAGGGCTTAGCTCAGAGCCATATATGCTCACTTAGGTTCTGTGTGTGTGTGTGTGTGTGTGTGTGTGTGTGTTTTCTGTTTTAGTACTAGGGCTTAGCTCAGAGCCACACAGGCTCACTTAGCTTCTTTACACTCAAGGCTGGCACTCTTACCTCTTGAGCCATACCTCCACTTCGAATTTTTTGCTGGTTAATTTGAAATAATGAGTCTCTCAAGTTTTCCTGACTGGGCTAGCTTTGAACCTCAATCCTCATATCTCAGACTCCTGAGTAGCTAGGATTACAAGTGATCCATTGCACCTAGCTTCTATTTTGATTTAAATAAATCAGGCTATAGGATGCAGAGAAGTTATTGCTCAAAATCCTGGTTATTTAAGGAACATTATCCAGGCTCCAGAACTCAGCCTCTATTGTCTACTTCTTTTGAGCACATTTGGACTTGTTTTCCCCTGCCTTCCCACAAAATACAAGTTATTCATTGTAGCATATTTTCCATGATATAAATTATATATATGTATACATATATAGATGAAAATTACCTATAATCCCACTATACAGATGACTATTTACTTTTTTTGGTCTTTTTTGCACTTGCTAGACAAGCACTTTGCCACTGAGCTACATTCCAGTCCAATCTTACTCTTTACTAGCTTACTTATGTGCATTTCTCACATTACATTTACTAACTCATCTGATCCTGTTTATTGGGCTCACAATGTCTATTGCTATCTCTTCTCCACCCAGATTACAAACTCTCAGGGCAGGGGCCTGGGAAGGTGGCTCGGTGGTAGAGCACTTGACTTGCATGCCTGAGGCCCTGGGTTCGATTCCTCAGCACCACATAAGAAAAAAAGCCGGAAGTGGCGCTGTGGCTCAAGTGGTAGAGCACTAGCCTTGAGCTGAAGAGCTGAGGGACAGCGCCCAGGCCCAGAGTTCAGGCCCCACGACCGGACCCAAAAAAAAAAAAAAAAAGCTGGAAGTGGCACTGTGGGTCAAGTGGTGGAGTCTCACAGACTTTTCTGTCTGATCTGGCCTCAAATGGTACCCCCCAAATCTCAGCCTCCCACAAAGCTAGGAATGACAGATGCATGCCTTCATCCTGAACTATGAATTGAAAAGAGGTTTGTCAAACTTTTCTGCCTAGTATGGCCTGCCTTTCAACCCACAGTCCTCACATTATCTTAGCTTCCTAAGTAGCTAGGATTACAATCATGAGCCACTGGCAGCCCGCTCATTTCTTAATTTTGAACTACCTTCTAGCTCTTCTCACATTTTTTTCCACAGGTAATGAGAAATAATCTAGTAGTATGTTATAGTTTAAATTTTAAGTGTTCTCCAAAGATGCATGAAAGAAAGATTCACTTCCCTGGGTGATGCCAGTGGGAGATGGTGTGGATCCTTTAGGAGGTGGAGCCTAGCGGGAGGTTTTCAGGTTATTGGGGGTGTGTCTCAAAGGGGAGTGTGAGATGAAGTTTGTTCCATAAGGTGAGTAAGCAGTTTTACTCCTCCATGCACTCTTACCATGATGTGTCACCTAAATGGCCCAAACCAACACCATCAACCAACCATGGACTAGAACTTAAGACTGTAAACAGCCAGGGATGGGTGGTTCATGCCTGTAATCCTAGCTACTCAGGAGGATGAGATCTGAGGATCACAGTTTGAAACCAGCTTGGGCAAGAAAGTCCATCAGACTCTTACCTCTTAATTATCCACTCAAAAACCAGAAGTGGCACTGTGGCTCAAGTGTTAGAGCTCTAGCCTTGAGCACAAAGAGACGCAGAAACAGCACCCAGGCCCTTGAGTACAAGCCCCACAATCAACCAACCAACAAAAATACTGTAAACAACATCACTCTTCTTTGTAAGTTGATTATTACAAGTTTTGATTATGGTGGCAGAAATGTGTTCATTATTCTGCTTTGAAATTTCTTTACCTAATCTGGCATGATGGCTTACATCTGACATCTCAGATATGTGTGTGTATGCCTGTGTGTGTAGACAGACAGACAGACAGGTAGATAAGCAGTTGGGAGAATCATGGTTCAAGGCTAGCCTCAGTAAAAGGTTAGAGAGACACCCTGTATCTTAATCAATAATCCCAGTGTGATGGCTCATGTCTTTGGTACCAGCCAGGCAAAAAAGATTTCAGTCTCAAGCTGCTCAGGAGAAAAAACAAGACCTTGTCTGAAAATAAATCCAGGCACCTGAGGATCATATGTATAATCCTAGCTACTCAGGAGGCTGAGATCTGGAGGATCACAGTTTGAAGTTAACCCAGGCAGAAAGGTTCACTAGATTTCCAGCTCAAACAAGAAAGCACCAGCCAAGCAAGCATGAGGTCCTGAGTTCAAGCCGTGTTGACAAAAATCTCCATCACTAGAATACAAAGGTCTCCAGCTTCTCCTAACATTGACTTTTGGCTGCACTGTCTGTTTCCTCCTATGAGCTCCTGTCTGCCGCTGGTCACCCAGTCCCAAAGCCAATGCCACATGTATTCTGCTTTGTTACAATGCCACCCATATCTAAAGACCTAAATCCTGCTGTGAAAGAGAACACACAGGGCTGGGAAGGTGGCTCAGTGGGAGAGCGCTTGCCTTGCATGCCTGAGGCCCTGGGTTCGATTCCTCAGCACCACATAAGCAGAAAATGCAGGAAGTGGCACTGTGGCTTAAGTGGTAGAGCACTAGCCTTGAGCTCAAGAGCTCAGGGACAGTGCCCAGGCCCAGAGTTCAAGCCCCACAACAAACAAAAAAAAAAGAAGGAAAGAAAGAAAGAGAACACACACACCGAGGGGCTTCAAACAGAAGCTGAGATTTTATTATCTATTATTGTTTGGGTTGATGGAGCCTAGCTATGCTCTTTCTCACTCAGGGAACATAAAAGAATTGTCCCCAAAAGGTAGCCAGCTTGAAAGCCTCATTTGTAGCTGGCTTTAGGCCGGCACCCCTGCGCTAAGAGTGTGCTTCAAAGGGGAGTGTGGGACCAGAGTGGGTCCATTTGGTTTCTACTGGCATACAGCATAATGACCAGATTCCAAAAAGACCAGAGGCGGGGGTTGTTTTAACATAACACTGTAGCCACAGGCCATCAGCTTCAAGAAATGAGAACAAAGACCCCACTTCTCCATGGGAAGAATGTCAACATCATATTTTAAGAAGAGCATGTGGGATCTGTGGGGTTATTTATTTAGGTGTTACTGGAAGTGAACTCAGGGTCTTAACACTTGCTAAGCTGCCACTCTACCATTTGGGCCATGCCTCTACTTCCAGGTTAATTGGAGATAAGCATCTCTCAAACTTTTCTTCCCTGGCTGGCTTTGAGCCATGATCCTTAGATCTCAGTCTCCTGTATAGCTAGGATTACAGGTGTGAGCCACCAACGCCAGGCTTCTAATTTGGTTTTGTGCTAGTTATTTGGAGATGGAGTTTCAAAGATGTTTCTGTCCCAGATGACTTTCATGATCATCAGATCTCAGCCTCCCAAGTACAAGTAGCCCTTTCATATAGATATTTGGATATAATTTTTTTTATTATCTTGAAGTAGTTATACAAAAGTAGTTATTATCTTTAAGTTCAACTAACATATTGAATTGAAACTGCCCTTTGGCTGAAGAATCAGCCAATCTGGGTCATGACCTAACAGCTCCTATCCTGCCTCCCCTCCACCTACAGCCAGCCATATCCATGTTCTGATCCCAGCTACTGCTGCCTCCTGCCCTGGAACTCAGCCATCGGGCTCAGGATGGCCCAGTCAGTGTAATTTCTCTTCTGCCTTCCTCTCTAGTCTCGATTTTCCAGGGCTGGCCTATACCCTCTAATTCTCCCAACAACCCCAGAGTAGATAGGATCAACCCATCCATCTCCAGAAGAGAAGCTGAAATTCAGGGAGGTTACAATACCTGCCTACAACCACACAGATGCTGACTGAAGATGCTGGGCTTATCCATTTCGTGAAACATGGCAGGCTGGGGGGAGGAAAGCTTTGCTTCTGTCATTCTAAACCCCGGGGGACCCTGGGATGGGTAGAGGAATTGTGACGTTGCTGCTTTTCAGCAGACAGTCTCTAAATCTTCCGTCTTTCTGCATCATGTATCACTTTTTATGGCGCTTTAAATTATTGATGTTGTTTTGTTGAAAGCTAAGCACATTGGGGAAATTGCCACTTAGGGGAAGGGAGAAAAGAGGCAGGATACTGGACAGGGAGAGGACATTGGGTCTGTAGCATTGATGATATTTTAAAACTCTTTTGGTGTAGTGTGTGTGTGTGTGTGTGTATTAGAAAGGGACAGAGACAAGAGATGGAGACAGAGATCGATGGTTA